AATTTTAATCTTTGTTAATGAGTATTACATTTAAGAAAATCCAAATATTTACAAATGAAACAAATCGTAAATACAAATAGATAAAAAAATAAAAGTTTAAAAAAAACTAATTATAATACAACTTGAATTGTTTTATAAGCAATCATAGTGTGGGGTAAAAAAACACACTTACTATTGTAAAACCAGCTATTATATAAATAAATAATTTCAAGAGTATACGCTGATTTGAAAGTTAAGACCAATTTGCGTATAGCAATAAAAACAACGAACTGAAATAAACCATCAGAGGCAGAATAGTTAAAAAAACTTTTCTGTAAATGCCGCTTTTTATGAGTTTAAAACAGTTTTATTACGCTTGTTGGCTATATTTCAGATATAGTTTTATATTGCAGCAAAAACGAAAAGATTCTTTGGCACTAGACCATTTATTAAGAAAACATATCAATATCAAAAGAAACTAATACAATGATTAAGAATACTACGATAAATATAAATTCACCAACACTGTAATAATATTCATTAGATATTTATCATAATTTTCTAATTGCTGCAAATCATTTTGATTCTTAATATTATGACCAGAAAACCAGTATAGCTCAGGGCAACATAATCAAACCATGTTACTACATAAATGATTATATACATTAAACATACAATGTATATAACAATATTAAAAAAATTCTCATCTGATTTTTTTTTTTCAAAAATTACAAACATTTTAAAATTTAATTTTACAAAACTTCATGGAAAAGTATATTTTTAATGTTATTGGAGCTTAAAGTATAAAATAAAGTGTACTATCATTGTTTTAATATTTAATATGTTATGAAAATTTAAAAAAAATATGCTCATTTGACTTGTTACACTATGTAGTTATCAGACTTAAATGAAAAGTTTACTAATATAATAACATAATTATTTATTATGTATATAAATGTCGCGTTGAAAAGATTCATGATCTGCTACAAAGCCAATTTTACATTTTTTAACATTTATCTTTCGAAATTAAGCGTTTAAAATCTTGTCTAGAGTAAACATTTTAACATGAGATTATACAATATATTATAATATTATTACAATATTTAAATTTTGGTAGTAAATAATTGCATCATTAAACTTAAATAAGTTTTATTGAATTCAATAATTTTTAGACAACTGTTATTACTTGGCAAACATTTACTATGTATGCTGCAACTGCAAGATAAACAAATAACACAACGATGTCTTACGAATAACTAGCATTGTTTTCTTCAGAAATAAGTTCAATTAAAATATTTCTTTTCCGAGTTTTGTAAAGTTATTGTATAGTTAACTTGCTAATACTGTGGACGTGGGGTGCTATATAATATAAAATCTCTGTTTTTTTTTACATACATCTAATGTAACTAAGGTACCAGTAACTCGCAACAGTCATAAAATACTTTGATCATCTGCGCCGGTTTTTTATACAACATCTCGCGTAGAGATCGTGTGAATGACACGCTTTAGTAATAACTTAATTTACAATCCTTTAATCTCAAATTTCCACTACACTCATACGTTTTATTACTAAAGCAAAATGGATTATAAGTTTTACAATAACGTTATGGTGTAATTGCGTTATTTTATTCTGTATTTTTTGCTGGGATCAAATCAAATAAAATCATTGTTAAGACTATACACGTAACTGTGAAATAAGCAGCCCTTAAATTTTTTTTTTTTTAATTGTGTATATATTTAATTATTAAATATATGTTATTGATTATTTTACATTTCAATAACTTTTTATTTTCGTGTCTTTTTTCTAAAGTATATATTAAAAATATGTTTGATGACAACATAAAATATTTTTCCCTCAGGCTTCACCAGATTTGTGTCCAATTTCCTAGTAGTGATAAGAAATAAATCTGAATTTTCTTAAAATATCTATTTCGGATTTCAAACTTTAGTATAAAAAATTCAGATTTAACAACGAACCGTATTTTCCCATCACTAGTTTTACTAGATTATTTATTTCCTCAAATGAATAATCTGTAAAAATATTTTATTAAATTTAAATATATTTCATTAATATTTTTTTTAACTATCAAGGCCTTATATATATAACAAATTCAATGTCTATATTTGTATACATATTTTGAATCCCTTCCGAAATAATATTCTAATATGACCCTGAGAACTATAATAGTATTTATAATAGAATTTAAAACAGTTTTAGTATAAAAGTTCTTACAATAAATGTCTTATGAATTGAAAAATAATATAGTAAATACCAAGAAGATTGTTTAATACTTCCCCTTTTTCTGATGTTGCTTAATCATAAATACAAAAGCTGGTAACAATAATAAATTTCAGTCAATGTCAATTTAAGCCTCCAGTCTTTGTAAGATACTTGACTATAATTAAATATCAAACGTATACATATCTTACAGAATAAAATAACGCAATTACACCATAACGTTATTGTAAAACTTATAATCCATTTTGCTTTAGTAATAAAACGTATGACTGTAGTGGAAATTTGAGATTAAAGGATTGGATATCATGTTTACAATCATACTAACTATTTTGAATTATAGTAAAATAAGTAATTTTAGTATACAAAATTACTTCAGGCTAATTATACTTGAAATTTATGTACTTTTTATTAAAAAGCTAAACAGATAGTTTACTTGCATTTCATTTTCTTTGGATATAATTGATTTTTGACATTTATAAGCTTTAATGTGAGTGGACTAAGTGCATAATGGGTTAAATATAATGTTTTAAAACAAGTGTTTTTATCTTTTACTGAAACATCTACCAACATTTTACTAAACCTTTTAAATAAACTCATTTGCATTAATATCTTTAGTGTGGTTTCTTTTTGTTTTAAATTTAGAAATTTAAGATAACTTGCACAGGGTCTCTAGAAATATTGTTTTTCTAATTAGTATTTAAAATATACATTTATCTGTTATAATAAGACAAGAATAACATATACCTAATTACTTGAACTAATTTTGAGTCTCAAACACTTTTTTAAAGTTTCTATATTAGTGTAATTGTTTACAATATAATAACAACGATACGGACTAATTTGTATCGGTTATACATTTGGAACACTTATAATGTATATATAGTTTAAATAAATAAACAAATTCATTTTTTAAAATTTAAAAAACTTTTTTTTAATTATTTCTAAATGTATATAGTTAGTAATGTTAAAATTTATCCCACCCAATCTTTATACAGGTCGGTACAAAGAGTTGTATCCCTACACTATGAACGTATTTTGAAGGGCCTGTAAATTAATTTAGTGACTGAAAAAAGGTTCTTTTTTACTAAAGTTTAATTTTAGTGTCTCACAAAACGGTCTTTAGCGTTGTCTTATCCTTATAAATTATAAAAAAAATATTAGTGATAACAAATATATTTAAAAATAGATATTATAATATAACTATATTACGCAAAATTTAAATTTATAAATCTGTATACGTACATGTAATATTTTACAAAAATAACACGTATGAAATACAATGATAAATTGTTATGATTAAATAGAATAAGGAAGTGTAAGGTTTAAATAATGATGTTTTTACTGTTATTTTTGGGTAATAATATTGTTTAAAATAAATTTAAAAAGAAAAAATTACCACGACCAAAAATATATTCTTTTCTTGAAAATATTACTACCCCATTAAACTCCCGCTCAGGCCAAATGACCTTTAATGCCCTTTTTTGTAAAGCCCATGATATAAATATACTAATAGAAGTAATATTATGATTAACTTGATAAAATATTCAGCTTCATTGAAATGTATTTGATTGCTGTCGCGAACGAAGACAATCTTAAAAGTTACTAGCCAACAGTTAGCACATGTAATACATGATGTTCACACGTAGGCGCTACAATAGGCCTATTATGTCATATATTATTGATAGATGCACATTTTGTTTTTAAGACGATGTCCGTGGGTTTTACATCGAATTCTTCATCCATTAATAATAAACACGGTTAGATTTATTCCTTTGTGACATGGTCTGTGTTAACGTGTGAAAAATATATTTAGCAAGTTTTAAATCGTCACGTAAAAAAATGTGGGAGACTTCTGAATATTACGATCATACTTTTAATTCGCATTCACACACCTTAACAAAAAACATTAAATTATACTTATTTTTGCTGTGGCCATGTGTTGTTTGGAATAAATTTCTAAGCACGTACATCTTAAACATCATAATAATATGATTTGATAAATATCTATGAGATTTGTATAATAAACTATTCATTTACTTTAACAGCGACAGTATTAAAAAACATCTCAATTTTTTTTTTTAATGTACGCCATAAATACTTAAGGATAATTCAACATGTAAGGTAAAAAGGAAATGATTACTAACGATGATTTAAAATAATTCAGATAATAAATTATGACTTATTTTCTCTACATGTTAGATTGAAAAAATATATGAAATTTATAAAAATTTTACTTAACTCTTGTGTGGGTATGTCGATAAATATGTTTAATACTGACGTTTCTTTTATATATAAATATTTTTTTTTTATATCATGCACTGAGGCAAGACAATATAGAACCAAGTTCAAAACAGACTTTAACTTAGAAAATACCTAGAGTATATTCAAAATTTTAGACTTTCATGTTACAGATTCAAGTAGTGATAAAAACAGTGTTTTTAATGAACACAAAAAAAAATATATTTCCGAACTTAGTTTAAAAAATGTTTATAAAGAGTGTTGTTTTGGTAAAATTTCTATGGGGATACGTTTTATTTCCAGGAAAGTGCACTACTATACATAAGTGAACGTTCATATTACCAACGCATGGAAACTAGTACAAACGCTAATTTATTAATAGGTTAATTTTTAAATAGCTGAACTTAACAATTCTAATTTTTTTGATCATATAAATTATAAGCTTATACATCTCTACAGATCAATTTATTTTATTTTATTTGTTGTTGAAAATTTTCTTAAAATTGATAGTAAAGTTTCATTGGTAATTTTTAATTAATTTTAGAATGTACAAAAACATGAACCTGCAAAAACAATGTCTACAATATCAGAAAACAAATGGAAACTTTTGGGTTCTAGGAAAACTGTCGAGGAAACATTTCGGAATTCGCATAGGATTAGTATACAACAAGGTAAAAAGCTCCAATTAATGGATAATAGAAGTCGCTATTATGCTTTAGATCAAATCATCATTTTTTCTAAATATTATATGTTTTTAAACATGAACATTTAACATAGTATGCATTGTATATGATCATATTTTATATTGCACATATGATATAATACGTACCGGTATGTATTAACATTTAATTGGCATTATGTTTCAATGATATTCATAGTTAAGTCTAAATAATACATATAAAAAATTCTAATGAAATAAAACATTGAATATTTGTATTATTATTTATATCAACTATAATGTAGTTTTTTGTGTAAATATTACTTATTATAAGCCTAGAAATAAATTGTAGTGCCATCAAATTACAATTTATTTTAGTCGTTGCTTGAATAATTCGTAAAGTAATTTTTATCAACATTTTATTGGTAAATAAGAAATCAATAAAAACACTGTTTTTGTGTACGATTCTCTTGCGATTCTGATTAAAAAGCAATAGATTTGTGAAATTAAGTAGTCTATTTTACATAAAACTATTTCACCAGGTGTAAATGATGGCAATGAAGCATACAAACATCAAATGCGGATCGCCAAAGAAGCTTTATGTAAAGTACCAAGGCCACGGGTGATAAAAGCCAGTGACATATATCCTAGTTCAAATAAAAGGTATATACCATCTTGTACTGTTCTTCATGTATGTGCTGATGACACTGGATGTTGTGGTAGTCCTTTGCTGAAATGTGGTCCCAAGTCTACACAACCTCTACATTTACAATTTTTAGTTTACGTAAGTATCTTAATATACTGGTATGAATAAACATGCATGTTATTTAAAAATGATTTTTTAAAGAGACTACAATACAAATTATTATTAATTTATTTTAAAATTTGATTTCGTGTAAGTAAAATTGATTATGGGGAAAAGTTCATTGACATGAAACATTCAACTTTCTTACATATACATGGATAGACTTATACAAAAAATTAAAAACAAAACATAATATGTACAAACGTAGAGTATGCAAAATTCAGTCCATTACATAGTCAATAGGCATATAGAATTACCCAATAATAATGAATTATCTCTTTAAAGTACATTCTAAGAAACTGAATAAAAATTTAAACAATAGTATTAAAGAAATTAACTACTTCCTTTATGTGTGTTTTGCATTATACAATCATGATTCGTGTCAAAGGAATTCGAATGCCGCTAGGTGTAATATTGATATCGAATATATTTGATTAGAATAGATCAAAAGAAATTACTAGTTTTGATGATAATACTGATATAACCTTCAACTTAAAATTGAGTTTAATATCTCATATCAATTATTTTTTTCTTCAGACCACCCACACAATTGTATGAATCAACATTATCAATATTTTTGAGTAAGGCTAGTTTTTTGACAAAGTTATCGACATACAGACACTAAATATTAACATGTTTTTATTTTATAAAATATTTATGTCATAATTCATACTTAATATTTTGAATGTGAAACGTGTTGTTTATGTATATAATTAAAATACATTACATTATTTAAAACACACAAAAAGTAGTTAAATGCAACACTTATTTATATAATTTGTCTGATTACTTTTGGATTTAGATTTACTATATGATCTGCTTTAGATAGTAATCACTAATAAAAAAAAATTAATTTTATTATGATTTCCCAATAATATTAGTATGTAAATAATGCAAATATTAAGATTATTATTCTAAATATTATTATTAAAATAATTTTAAGTTTATAGTACTTTTCAATGACAAGTATGAATTTTCATAGAATTCGTTTAAAGAATACTCAAACAATTTATTATGCTAGTAGATTACCTTGGAGTGTAGTTTTTAAGTAAAAAGTGTGAAAATTAACGAAAAACATTCGGGAACCTTTTAATTTTTTGGTAAGATATAAATATAAGTTTTGTACACACCACTGTTTATTTTTACTTAACAACCAGTATAACATTTTTAAGTTAGCATTTCGTTTAGCATTTTTAAACGAAAGTTTTAGATAAAATCACTCAAACACTTAATTAAAAAAATTAACTATTAATAAAACTATATGAATTCTTATTTATCAAAAGAGTAAATAGTTACTATTAATTATTCTTTAGGAATATTTAGTTAGCTGATTTCTAATTTCTTTTTAAAATATATTAATACAACCGCTAAAAATAAGTGATTTCATCATAAACATAGAATATACAAAATATATTTTGTATGATTTTCTATTTTTTATAAATATTTTCAAATTTTCACTGATTATAATCATTATAATTTTTTACTTACGGGTAATAATTATTATCCGCAAGTAAAAAATTAGTTCATTAAATTCGATTAAAATTAAAAAAAAAAACGTAAATATCAAAATAGGTGTAATTTCAAAAAAAAACGTTCAATCTAACGTTGTTAGTGTGGGTGTTTTTTAACATACCACTTTTTTAAGGTTTCAATTCTATAAATAATTTATTCAAATGAAATTTAAAGGTCAATACATTGAATTTATTTTGAAAATTAGCCTGCGGGTGCACATTAAATAATCCAAATGGCGCCATTAGTTATTTTACTTAGTAATTTTATTGTTTGAACGTGATTCATTCATTTAAGCACAGATAAATAGTATATTTTTAAACCTTCACTTGTTCTACAGTTAATTTTAAACAAATCGATTTATATAATAATAAAACTTTGATTAATCTATATAAATTTCCATTTAAATTTAAAAGACTAGATCGTCATCTAGTATTTAACTTGATCGGAATTCAGTTACATTATTCTTATTTTGAATGTAGACACAATGAACCATTGACCTTGCGCTGTTATTAATTTAAATTACACTTTTTTTATGTGAACGACTAAAAATGATCAAGAAATAAAAAATGTCAATTTTTTGTTTTAAGTGTACGGATTTTAATACGATACTATCCAAATTGTATTAAGCATTATTTTAGTTCTAAACATTTGAGATCATAAATTGCATATATAAAACGCCGTACCTTTATTGTATTAGTTTCTTTAAAAAATCGAGGAGGATTAAAATTGTATTTCAAATTATCAAACTAGATTTATTTTTCGTTCTGTTTGGATTATTTCTATAAAAATTACTGATTACAGAGTTTATTGAATGACATTAAAAAAATAATTTGTTGACAAAAAAAGTTGATATAAAAACAAAACAACAATATAATGTATAAACTTTTAAAAATTTTAATTAATTGCTTGAAATATTTACGCATTTATCCACGTTTTCAGTTATATGAGCAAAAGTTTCGGATTTATTGCAGAATATATCGTCAGAGAGATAGTTACAGGATCTTGGTTGTAACTATGCTGTGAATAAACTGACAGTATATTTCCAGCATTTCTAATTATTATATTTATGAGCAATATTATTTTATAATAAAAATTGATTTAAAGACACATGTAAAATACATAGAAAATTATTCACTTATATTTTACTGTCAAAAAAAAAAAAAAATAATAATTATTTAGCCAGAAACCCTGAAAGTAATTCAACTGTCGTGAAAGTTGCAATAATAAATCATGTTATATCATATTAAATATTAGTTAAGACCGATTGATTTATGCGTTGAAGGAAATGTGTTTCGTTTTTACCGTTAGTAAGAATTTCTTACTGCTAATTTTTTAAATAAATTTGATTTTGACATATTTTATAATTAAAGAGATTTTTTGAGATACAATAATTGTGTAATTGTATTATTATCTTGAAAAATAACCGCACTTCTTTCAATAGCTTATATTTGTTTAAAAATTGAGTAATAGTTTTTCTTAACATATATTTTTTAGTTTCGATGCGAAGCTGAGAAGGTATTGGTTTTACTATGTATTATTTTTTTTTTTTTTTTGTGTCTGTTACCACTTTTTCTCAGCTCTCACCAAACCGGTTTCTTTCTACGATACGTCAAAAGATCACAAATCGTATCTAGTTGAAGACATTACCCTCAAAAATTGCAAAAATTTCCCTCGTTCCCCTTGAATGGGAGAAATCTACAAAAAAATTACAAATTTAAAAATCACAAATTTTTGAGATTTTTTTCATTTAAAACTGCCATAACTTTTTTAAAAATGACCGAATCAATATAATTTTTTTTTATAGATACCTTAGGTATTAACCTATCTTTTGATATATTTTGTGAACATTTGACCCCTTACCAGCCCATAGGAATGGTTTCAAAATGGCTACTTTTTCACAAAAAATTAACTTTTTCAACTTAACTTTTGAAAATGTTCCGGACAGATTGACAGACTTTTATATATCTCTTAAATTAAAGCTTATGTAATATACTTTAATTTGAAAAAAAAAAATTTCGGACTTTATTTTGTCTTCACGGTGAAAATAGTTACCGGATGCTATTTTTGTGTGAAAATTTTCAATTTTATATTTTACATTTTTAACTTTATAATGCTATACCTTTTTAAAAGTGTATGGATCAATACAATTTTTTTATGAGAAATAATATTTATATCCCTCTTTCATTTGACATGAAATGACCGTCGAAGTTGAACAAATTTAATAAATATTTAACAATAAATGAATTTAAATTTATTAACTATTTATTCATGTATTACCCTTATACATAATAAAATTTGAAATCAGGATATAAATAAGGAAATAGCAATTCATGTAGCTTTTCGAATAATCCAACAATTTTTTTAAAATTAAACACTATCTAAAGATTTGCATCGAAGCGTTTTTAATGATAGTGATTTTAATCACTGTCAGATATCATTATACTTGACCCAACTGTGCCACGTCACCACTGTGCTGGGTTTTTTTTTTTTGACACTATTGTAAAACTAGTAAATATATCTAGTTGTAAATCAATTTGTAGTCCAGAATTCATTTGCAGTACTAAATTATTGTGTGTTATGTGACGGATAAAAAACTCAATCCGAAAGTTTCCACCCGCATAAAGATATTTTGAAATACTAGTGGAGTGTTACGTATATTAAGCACGTGGAAGGTATGAGAGGTTTCTGAGTTTTTATATGTATGGACCTGTTGTTGGTGGCTTTAATATTTGTGAAGCAATTAGCCGTAGGTATATAAATAATGTTCATAAACGCGCCTACTATACCTGATCGAGACCACCAAAGTTAGGCGAAAGCACTTTCGCTTTCCTTTTCTTGCGTGTTGATGTTTTGTAAATTCTCTACGTCTATATTCTCACAATGTATCTTAAATCTTCAACTGTTTAATGCGCGATCACGAATAGGCCTATGCGATATCACTTATCATCTTTTACATATCGTCTGCTTTAGTACAAAAAACTAACTGTAAGATACGACCTATAATAAAAAAATAAAACTAAAAAAACCGGTCGAATCTATTGTTTTTGGTCATCATTTTACATTTTAAAAAAATCAGATTCACGAGTTTAGATTCTTCTTGCTTTAATACATATTAAAATAATATTATGATATTCTATAGAAATAAATCCATAAATATGTTTGTATAGAATATTTAAATATCTCCGGTAAATAAGTACAACCTCTATGAAATCATATTATTAATAAAACAAACAATAGAAAATAAAATTGGTATTATACACCCAAAATATACCTCTAGTTCTAAGTGCCTTATGTGACAAATAAATGATTTAATGTCTCAATTTGTAAAAATTCGACGAAGCGAATAAAATATAATTGACTCCATTCCTTCTATTGTACTTAATAAAATGTTTTAGTATTAATAATGGCAATTTTTTAGTAATAATAAAATTTAAAATACTAAAAAGTTGTAATTATTTTATTACTTT